TGCAACCTAAAGAATAGACAACAATTCTACAGTTATAAAGATAAATATGACGGAAAGAATAGTCAATATAAAGGATGATGTACTGAAGCAAGTATAATGCAGCCAATCTGGTGTTTTCTATGGTATCGATATTTTCTTCCAATACTACGCCTCCATTTTCATCATTTTCATTATTATTTCTTACGTTTGTATGCTCCTTAACATTATTTGGCTGTGATGAATGCTCTTTTTTTACATGCTTTCTCCAAGTATAATAACTTTTAAATGTTCTTGTACAACCACTTATGCCACACAAACAATGGAAATTTGGATCATTCCTGTGACACCTTCCAATGTGGTTTATCAATTGACTGCGATGTTCAGCAGAAAAATCTCCACATATATTGCACTGCCAGGGCATGTAAACATCGATGTATATGTAGATATGGCAAATTTTCCTTTTATTGTCTTGTTTATTATAAAAGCTTGAGGTTTTTCAGTCCATTTTTAAGAGCCGTTATTTTACAAAGCTTCTTGTGACTTCTTTCCAAAGTACCGGAACAGTGTTTATCCCAATAACCAGGACAAGCAAACAATTTCAAGTAATACAAAATAAAACAAATAAAAATCATAGCTAAAAATAATTTGTCATAACTGTCATTTCCGCTTGTAAAGACATTTATAGCATTGTATTCTGTAAATGAAACTGTTTTGCTATGGACAAAAATTTGAGGGAGAAACTCGTTAATTCCGGCGTAGAAGAAGCAACAGTTTCTATATTGGAAAATCAAAAAGTAAGTGAAGTGCATCTACAAATAAAAATCATAGCTAAAAATTATGAGGCGCCGTTCGTTGCAAAAATCAAAAATGTTATTCTCATGTATTTAATTGCTCTCACCACACATTGAATTCGTTATCCACATGATTCATAGACTGAAATCCTTTCATTCCATATTAAAAAGCCATAGACTTTTGATTTTGCTAAATTTTGTTTTTAAAACTTTGTTTTTGTATAAATTTCACTTTGTTTTGTAAAATTCACTTTGTTTTTATAAATCTCACTTTGATTTTGTTTAATCTCACTTTGAAATGTGAAAATCTCACTTTGTTTTTGTGAAAATCTCGATGTAATTGACGTAAAATTTTACAAATACAAAGTGAGATTTTCACAAATCAAAGTGAGATTAAACAAAATCAAAGTGAGATTTATACAAAAACAAAGTGAGATTTTTACAAAAACAAAGTGAAATTTATACAAAAATAAAGTGAGATTTTTACAAAAACAAAGTGAAATTTATACAAAAACAAAGTGAGATTTTACAAAATCAAAGTGAGATTTATACAAAAACAAAGTGAGATTTTTACAAAAACAAAGTGAAATTTATACAAAACAAAGTGAGATTTTTATAAAAACAAAGTGAAAATTTAGCAAAATCAAAAGTCTATGGCTTTTTAATATGGAATGAATCATGAATCATGTGGATAACGAATTCAATGTATGATGAGAGCAATTCAATACATGAGAATAACATTTTTTGATTTTTGCAACGAACGGCGCCTCATAAAAAATAATTTGTCATAACTGTCATTTCCGCTTGTAAAGACATTTATAGCATTGTATTCTGTAAATGAAACTGTTTTGCTATGGACAAAAATTTGAGGGAGAAACTCGTTAATTCCGGCGTAGAAGAAGCAACAGTTTCTATATTGGAAAATCAAAAAGTAAGTGAAGTGCATCTTGCATAAATCATAATAAAGTAAATGGTTTGAACCCGGGAGTATCGTTACAAACATATAAATACCGGGGAGTATCGTTTACAAACATATAAATCATAATGTTAAATATCGCATTGATTTCCAAACTTTCTCTATCTAGTTGAATGACTGTTTTATATTAAATGAAGCGGATATCAGTGTTTTGGTTTTGTGTGGAGTAAAGGCAGGTGATGCAATGCGAATTAAAAAAAATTTGCGCAGAAATGGTGGTTCAGAACAAAGACACGACTGCATCTATGGTAAGTGTTCATGCTTGTGTGTTGTGTATAAAATAATATTCCTAATATTTATAACCGTGTCACCCACAGTGACTATTATTGATTGACCTTGACTGGTCATATTGCTGGTCATAGGAAGTTTATAATCAGTCATAACTCCTTATCACAGACAGTCTTGAATCAAACTGGTATGTTTGTTAGGTTAAAAACTAAACTTAGGATGTTTTATATAAGTGCGCTAGTTCCAGTCTTCAGTTGGAAGTTCGGACTGATGTGGATGATGCCCCGATGGAAAACGAAAATACAAAAAATAGCACACTGCCATTACCCTCTGCATATCAAGAAAAACGAAACCGGCTGTATTTCAAAGACTATAAACTGCTCGAAACGGTACAGTCTAATTTCTCTCTTTACTCTTATTTTGATAAATTTAGTAACCACGGAAAACTATCGTTGAAATGTTCTTATTTAAGAGCAAGTTCTTTTTTATTTTACACATATGTTCATATGGACCTGTTTACTTTACCAGTTTTCACCTGCTGTAACATCTGCTTTGGCGAATAATTGCTTGACTGGGACACTAAGGAGCGAATTTATAAGGGATATATGTACAGACATATCATCTCATGGCATCGCTTACATAAACAAGGAGGAAAGAAATAAAGTTTCTTTTGCAATTGTCACTAAATACCCTCATCTCAAGGATGCTATAGGAAGTGGATTGGTATGTCATAACTCAGAGTAATTAAACGTACAGGTATATTTAAATTTTGCGAAATGATCTTGCGTGACAGTATAGTTAGCACAAACTTCTTTTACCATAAACGACGACAGGCAAGCATTTCTGCCTGAATTTGAACTTGTTCCTATTATTGTGTTTCATGAAAGAATTAAATGATGTTCTGTTTATAGCTACAAAGCATAACTAAAACTTTTAATCTAGTTAGATCACTGCATGTTCCCTCACATTTATCATAATGATCAAAGTCAAAGAATGTCTAAGCGTAAGTCAACATTCTTCTATTTAAGGAAAATGAACAAGTGTGCGCTTTTCTTCAAAAGTCATAAATATATACAATAAGTGGTGATTTGAAAATTTTAGGGTCTTGGTCTGAATCAATCAAAATCGATTTAAACATGTTCGAAAATACGAGAACAAAAAGAAACGAAAGTCATCGACTGTTGACTTTGATGTCCAGGGCAGCGTGACTCCTCCTCGTAAAGAAAGGCCAAGACAAACAAATATCTGGAGCGAAGTACCATCATGTAACAACACAACGGAGACCATTCACAAGGAGCATATTTTGCACTTGCAAAGTGAATGCCGCAAATCATCATCCATTCAGGATTATGGAATTATTAAAGAATTAATGAGGAGAACAAACGTATTTTATTATGATCATTTATATTTTTTATTACAAATATAAAAGTTAAAAAAACTGAATTTATCAAATATGACTAAAATCAGTGTTTAATAATATCCATGATAAAGGGACAGTCAAATGTAAAGACAACTTTCCCAATAACCTAGGTCAATATTTAAAGTATGTTCGCGAGTTGAGGCAGATCGACTTCCTCGTATCGCAGTAATTGCTGACCTAATCAGTGCGAAAGACAGTTTACAACACATCCACGCTAGCGTGATGCCATATTGCAGCTTTCTTTTGTGCCAGCAGATCAGCTAGCCGTTTATAAGCAATTGCAGTCTCTTTCGCCATACCACCTGATGTTGAAAAGACCAGTGGTGTAAAAGCAGCATATTCAATCTCTCTTACTCGATCACCATATTCCCTTTTCTTAGCCATCTCATGCTGAAGATAGAGTGCAGGTAGATTGGTGTTTTGGTAGCTCGACGCGTTTGAGTGAAATACCCTTACATCAAAAAATGCATCTTGCTGTCTAGACCAAAAACCTTTAGCACGAATATCTAGTCTCGCTTCTTCTTGTCTATTGGCTGTACGAGGTAATATCACTTCCCCAGAAAGAGGTTGTAGTTGTGGCTCTTTCACAACTGTCGAGCAAACTTCTGCCATCCACTGTGCTGTTATATCTCGAACTTCATTATGTCTCACTATTGGTAAACCACCATGAGGACATATCATCGCGTGATCGGCTGCAAAAGCCCTTCCACAAATGCAGTGCAGAGGGGTATTTTTCAATTGCCATCCATAACGTGAACTTAATGCATCTCGAAATTCCCCTTTGTTCAAATTAAAGCCTTGATCTTGTAATGGAAGTACACTTAACCATGATGACGATCCTTTTTCGCTCAGTATATCTAGCTTCCTTTGCATTGTTGGCGTAGAACTATCTCTTATTTCCTGGATCATATCATCAACTTCTTCTTCTTTTGCTCTCGTAAAGTCATTTTGATTGACTGTAACTGAGGTTTATGAAGTATCTCTTTCTGTTGAACAATCATGTCTTTCAGGCATTGACTGATCTTTTTGGAAGCAAGATATTCTTCATTTGCACTTTTAACTGGGTTGATAATATTTAGACCACCAAATCGTATAGGAAGTGAAAGGAGTTTTCGCTCATCTGGATTGCATTGCTTCGTCTGATATTGTAAGTTGAATTCATTAAAGAATTAATGAATTCAACTTACGATGTCAGACGAAGAAACATATTGACTACAGTTGTTCCTGTTGAAGATATCGTACAACAATATCCTCCTTTATCCACACTTAAAGGGGTTAGGGGTTGAATACGTTACATCGTGACAAAGTCTTGCTTTCACCATATTTTACAATAAATCAGATATTTCACAAATATTATTTTGCAATTTTAGATTCGCCATGAATACTGCAGAGTGATGAGAGATGATTGTGCCGTTAAAGACATGAAGTCTTCATTCTCTACTTATCGAAAAGCAATCTTAAAGTACTGTAAAGAATTATATCGAAAAAGTCCATTCATCAAGAATACTTTAAGGTGCCTAGAAAAAGCAGTATCGGAAGGAATAGAGGACTCCTCCGGTAGGTAAAAATAGCCTAGTAATAAAGCCATTTTTTTTATTTTTTTTTCGAATTTTATGTTGGGCAATTGTTTCTTTAATACGTATCCGTTTCCCACCTCGCAAGTCTCTCGCTTTTAGTTACAGAGTGTTATAAATTACAAGGTGTAGCGATGACACTGTCATCCCTATATGCTTTCCGCGTGGTAAATCTATTATCACAATATTTAAGGTTATTGGTGAAAACATACTGAAGAATGACAGGCTACTATTGTGCGTCGAAGGACGACAACTCGTTGACGTAACTTCATTTTCTTTAGACACAGTCCTTTTTACGCTCTATGCAACATACTATGTATTTTCTATAGCTTATCCACAAGATCATAAGGATGTATTTCTTTTTATTCATTCCGTTTTTGTTGGGTTGCAGCACACTGCTATCAATAGAATTAGCTTGCAAAAATTTATTAAAGCTCTTGCCAGTTTAAAGTAAGCATTAAGTGGACATTTAAACCATTACACTGGACATTTAGACAATTTTTTCTGTTACGGTGTACGCATGTTTTATGTTGGCGTAGCTAGCTCAATTATTGAGGGGAGTACTCAAGGGCGGCGGAGTATTGAAAATTGGGGGGCGCTATTATTAATTTGTGCCCGTTCTACTTTACATTGAAATTGATTAGTTTTAGGAATTATAGCATTTGAATATATGAATCCCCCCCCAAATATCAATGTTCTGCCAATGGTAGAGTATTTATGTTTGCCAATACTCTGTCAATGGTTGAGTAATTATGTTTGCATGTTGAACCTCGTTACTTTTCCTTGAATCTAATCTTTTTTATTGATAATAACGCGCATTTTTAATATTTGCCTCCCTTCACTCCATTCTCGAGATAGCTACGCTCATTCCTTTTCTGTTGAAATAAAGAGATTGTTTTTTTTTGATCTATTTTCATTTATTCTTACTATAGATTCAGAGTTCGTTTTAACCCCATTGAAGCATTACCTCCTGTATTTGCTCATGTGTCCTAAAAAATGCAGCATTCTGTGTAATTTATTTTTACCCCCAAATTATGGGGGAATTGCATGTCCATCAAAATCACCCCTTTAAAATTTCCCCCCATAAATTTTACCCCTTGATAAATTTCACCCCTTAATAGAAGTTACCCCTAACTAAATATTACCACCGTAAATTTTACCCCTAAATAAATATTACCCCCATAAAATATTACCCTTCAAAACCGGGGCATTCTGTGGCACTCATTTCACCCCTAACGTTAAGGGTAATTTTTACCCCTCAAATATTACAGTGGCATGTCTGTATTTTTCATTTAGTAACCGACATAGCGAACAACTCATCCTGTTGGTGGCCATTGTTTGCGCGAGCAATAATCACGAAACGAAACTTAATTGAAAAAAATATCTGGCCCCAAGAAAGTCACAACACGATGCTACACACATTATGTTTGTCCGCCTAAAAGTTTGTCAATCTTGAGTTCTTTGACGCAGACCGCATGGAGTAGTTTACTAAGATGCATTTCACTACATATGGCCCTTAGAAGGTTAAGTATAAGTTTCGGTTAATAGAAAATATTTAACACTAACAGGGACCTGTTATGACTCATATCACAGCAGTTTTTCTCTAGAAATCCCATGTCTGAAAATAATGACATTTATAACGGTATGAATCTTATCCTGTGAGAATAGACGAACTTAGTAGCTATTATAAGAGCAACAAGAATCACTTTGGCAATATCGCCAGTGTATATTTGAACGCTTTGTTAGTTGTTTTATCAAACATCAGAAACCAAACAATTAAAAAACTTTTTCTTTGAAGATATGTCTCTACTTATATATGGCAAAATTCGTTTAAATCAGACGTACCTGTGTCGAGAGGAGTGAAGAGCTTGTTTAAATCAGAAATTTGTCAAAATACCGTAAAAGTCTGGAGAAAAATGATGCTTTCTGTTTCAATGCGATTGCTTTTAGAATTTAGAAGCTCTTTATCATAGCAGACGTAGAGTCGCAGTCAAACACTGCAGGTTGCTAAGATAAAGGAATTTTGATGAAATTGAACGAATCTTATTGGTTGGCAAATAATTAGTTATGCTACTAACATTTTTTGCTACCAAGCAAGAAAAGTAATTAACTAAAAACAGTGGATTTCAGTAAATGGACAGCTGTTTTTACATTTGTAGTTCACCCATTTGATCTAAACTCTCCGAAATTATGTCCTCTCATTTGTATTTAGCATTTCTTTGACATATAGAATTATAGCATATCTTATAAAATTTAAATAGTGTGCAAGTGAAGAATGCCAAGTCACGATAAAACTTTTACACACATAAATTATTCGTAATGACAGGAGCACTACATGCGGTCGTTCCACAAGAACTAGCTAATGCAAGAGAAGAGTTTTACACTTATCTTCTTTAATTTCTCTAAAGTATTAATGTATGAAGAAATTCGTGTGTTTTCAAAAAAACATCGTGACATACAGTATGTTAAACATTTAACATTGCTATAATTAAAAGGTTAATGGCCAGTTTTAAGCTAAAAACGCGAAATATTGACTACAACTATGATGACCTTGAGAAATAAATTAAGGAGTTCGTTGACGCACATGTTTGATTAAAAGATATTGTTCTGTTTAGCTTACACGTCAGTTAAACACAAGTAAACCCACATAAGTTCCTAAACATGCTGTGCAGTCAATTTTGCGAGAAATTGACACAGAAAAAACCTAGAGAAAAAAGGGTCATCGACGTAAAAGAAGAACTTGCTATAATCCCTCCTAACTACAACGTGATGGATACAAGTAACGGATCTAGCGATGCATCTGGCACAATACATAGAATTGTTCTCATGTAATCGCGTACGCTATTTTGATAGGATACAATAATGGGCCTGGGCTGAAAGTGCTTCATGTAATCGGTTCTTTACTTAGCTAAAACTTTTGCTAGCCATTTTTATTGTTTTTTGTTACAATAACTTGAAGTGCTCTATTCGACGATTTGTGCTAAGATTGACTAAATAATGTAGACTTACAATACAGTAATAACTAGGGGAACTAATGCACATATATCAGCAAATGGGGAACAAAGTAAAGGGTTAAAAATGAACCAAACAAGAAACTTTCTTTACATCAAAACAAATGTGCTGCTTTACAGCTTCACTTTTCTCTATTTGTTTGCATGTCTGCATTTTTCATTTAGTAACCGCCATGGCGAACTATTCAACCTGTTAGTGGCCATTGCTTGCGCGAGCAATAAACACGAAACGAAACTTAATTGAAAAAACATCTGTCCCCAAAAAAGTCACAGCACAACACGATTACTACGCACATTATGTGTGTCTGCCTAATAGTTTGTCAATCTCGAGTTCTTTAAAGCAGACCGCACGGAGTAGTTATATTATGATGCAATTCCCTACATAAGGCCCTTAGATTGTTAAGTACAAGTTTCGGTTAATAGAAAATATTTAACACTAACAGGGATCTGTTATGACTCGCATCACAACAGTTTTTCTCTAGAAATACCATGTCTGAAAATAGTGACATTATAACGGTACGAATCTTATCCTGTGAGAATAGACGAACTTAGTAGCTATTATAAGAGCAACAAGAATCACTTTGGCAATATCGCCAGTGTATTTTTGAACGCTTTGTTAGTCATTTATCAGACATCAGAAACCAAACAATTAAAAAAAATTGTTCTTTGAACAAACGTCTCTACTTATATATGGCAAAATTCGTGTAAATCAGACGTACCTGTGTCGAGAGGAGTGAAGAGCTTGTTCAAATCAGAAATTTGTCAATATACCGTAAAACGTCTTGAGGAAAATGATGCTTTCTGTTTCAATGTGATTCCTTTTAGAATTTGTGAAGCTCTTTATCATAGCAGACGTAGAGTCGCAGTCAAAGACTGCAGGTTGCTAAGATAAAGGAATGTTCATGAAATTGAACGAATCTTATTGGTTGGCAAATAATTAGTTATGCTACTAACAACTGTTGCTACCATGCAAGAAAAATATTTAATTAAAAACAGTGGATTTCATTAATGGACAGCTGTTTTTTCATTTGTAGTTCACCCATTTGATCTAAACTTTCCGAAATTATGTCCTCTCATTTGTATTTAGCATTTCTTTGACATATTGAATTATAGCATATCTTATAAAATTTAAATAGTGTGCAAGTGAAGAATGCCAAGTCACGATAAAACTTTTACACACATAAATTATTCGTAATGACAGGAGCACTACATGCGGTCGTTCCCACAAGAACTAGCTAATGCAAGAGAAGAGTTTTACATTGAAACACTTATCTTCTTTAATTTCTCTAAAGTATTAATGTATGATGAAATTCGTGTGTTTTCAAAAAAACATCGTGACTTACAGTATGTTAAGCATTTAACATTGCTATAATTAAAAGGGTAATGGCCAGTTTTAAGCAAAAAACGCGAAATATTGACTACAACTATGATGACCTTGAGAGATTAATTAGAGAATTCGTTGACGCACATGTTTCATTAAAAGGATATTGTTCCGTTTGGCACTTCAGTTAAACACAAGTGTACCCATATAAGTTCCTAAACATGTTGTGCAGTCAATTTTGCGAGAAATTGACACAGAAAAAACCTAGAGAAAAAAGGGTCATCGACGTAAAAGAAGAACTTGCTATAATCCCTCCTAACTACAACGTGATGGATACAAGTAACGGATCTAGCGATGCATCTGGCACATTACATAGAATTGTTCTCATGTAATCGCGTACAGTATTTTGATAGGATACTATAACGGGAACTGGCTGAAACTTAGCCCGGGCTAAAATTGCTTAATGTAATTGGTCATCTACTTAGCTAAAACCTCTGCCGGCCATTTTTATTGTTTTTTGTTACAATAACTTGAAGTGTTTTATTGGAAAATTTGTGCTAAGATTGATTAAATATTGTAGACTTAAAATACAGTAATAACTAGGGGAATTAAAGCACATTTATCAGCGAATGGGTAACAAAGTAAAAGGTTAAAAATGAACCAAACAAGAAACTTCCTTTACATCAAAACAAATGTATTGCTTTACAGCTTCCCTTTTCTCTATCAGTTCGTGTGTCTGCATTTTTCATGTAGCAACCGCCGTGTCGAACAATTCAAGCCTTTAGCGGCCTTTGCTTGAGCGAGCAATAATCACGAAACGAAACTTAATTGACAAAACACAAAGAGAGTCACAACACGATACACACATTATGTGTATCCGCCTAAAAGTTTGTCAATCTTGAGTTCTTTAACGCAGAACGCATGGAGTAGTTATATTATGATGCATTTCACAACATATGGCACTTAGAGCGTTAAGTACAAGTTTCGGTTAATAGAAAATATTTAACACTAACAGGGATCTGTTATGACTCGCATCACAACAGTTTTTCTTTAGAAATCCCATGTCTGAAAATAGTGACATTTATAACGGTACGAATCTTATCCTGTGAGAATAGACGAACTTAGTAGCTATTATAAGAGCAACAAGAATCACTTTGGCAATATCGCCAGTGTATTTTTGAACGCTTTGTTAGTCATTTATCAGACATCAGAAACCAAACAATTAAAAAAAATTGTTCTTTGAACAAACGTCTCTACTTATATATGGCAAAATTCGTGTAAATCAGACGTACCTGTGTCGAGAGGAGTGAAGAGCTTGTTCAAATCAGAAATTTGTCAATATACCGTAAAACGTCTTGAGGAAAATGATGCTTTCTGTTTCAATGTGATTCCTTTTAGAATTTGTGAAGCTCGTTATCATAGCAGACGTAGAGTGGCAGTCAAACACTGCAGGTTGCTAAGATACAAGGAATGTTGATGAAATTGAACGAATCTTATTGGTTGGCAAATAATTAGTTATGCTACTAACAACTGTTGCTACCATGCAAGAAAAATATTTAATTAAAAACAGTGGATTTCAGTAAATGGACAGCTGTTTTTATATTTGTAGTTCACCCATTTGATCTAAACTCTCCGAAATTATGTCCTCTCATTTGTATTTAGCATTTCTTTGACATATAGAATTATAGCATATCTTATAAAATTTAAATAGTGTGCAAGTGAAGAATGCCAAGTCACGATAAAACTTTTACACACATAAATTATTCGTAATGACAGGAGCACTACATGCGGTCGTTCCCACAAGAACTAGCTAATGCAAGAGAAGAGTTTTACATTGAAACACTTATCTTCTTTAATTTCTCTAAAGTATTAATGTATGATGAAATTCGTGTGTTTTCAAAAAAACATCGTGACTTACAGTATGTTAAGCATTTAACATTGCTATAATTAAAAGGGTAATGGCCAGTTTTAAGCAAAAAACGCGAAATATTGACTACAACTATGATGACCTTGAGAGATTAATTAGAGAATTCTTTGACACACATGTTTCATTAAAAGGATATTGTTCCGTTTGGCATAAACTTCAGTTAAACACAAGTGTACCCATATAAGTTCCTAAACATGTTGTGCAGTCAATTTTGCGAGAAATTGACACAGAAAAAACCTAGAGAAAAAAGGGTCATCGACGTAAAAGAAGAACTTGCTATAATCCCTCCTAACTACAACGTGATGGATACAAGTAACGGATCTAGCGATGCATCTGGCACATTACATAGAATTGTTCTCATGTAATCGCGTACAGTATTTTGATAGGATACTATAACGGGAACTGGCTGAAACTTAGCCCGGGCTAAAATTGCTTAATGTAATTGGTCATCTACTTAGCTAAAACCTCTGCCGGCCATTTTTATTGTTTTTTGTTACAATAACTTGAAGTGTTTATTGGAAAATTTGTGCTAAGATTGATTAAATAATGTAGACTTAAAATACAGTAATAACTAGGGAATTAAAGCACATTTATCAGCGAATGGGTAACAAAGTAAAAGGTTAAAATGAACCAAACAAGAAACTTCCTTTACATCAAAACAAATGTATTGCTTTACAGCTTCCTTTTCTCTATCAGTTCGTGTGTCTGCATTTTTCATTTAGCAACCGCCGTGTCGAACAATTCAACCTTTAGCGGCCTTGCGCGAGCAATAATCACGAAACGAAACTTAATTGACAAAAACATCTGGCCCCAAGAGAGTCACAACACGATGCTACACTCCTTATGTGTCTCCGCCTAAAAGTTTGTCAATCTTGAGTTCTTTAACCCAGACCGCATGGAGTAGTTATATTATGATGCATTTCACTACATATGGCTTAGAGCGTTAAGTATAAGTTTCAGTTAATAAAAAATATTTAACACTAACAGGGATCTGTTATGACTCACATCACAACAGTTTTTCTTTAGAAATCCCATGTCTGAAAATAGTGACATTTATAACGGTACGAATCTTATCCTGTGAGAATAGACGAACTTAGTAGTTATTATAAGAGCAACAAGAATCACTTTGGCAATATCGCCAGTATATTTTTGAACGCTTTGTTAGTCATTTATCAGACATCAGAAACCAAACAATTAAAAAAAATTGTTCTTTGAACAAACGTCTCTACTTATATATGGCAAAATTCGTGTAAATCAGACGTACCTGTGTCGAGAGGAGTGAAGAGCTTGTTCAAATCAGAAATTTGTCAATATACCGTAAAACGTCTTGAGGAAAATGATGCTTTCTGTTTCAATGTGATTCCTTTTAGAATTTGTGAAGCTCGTTATCATAGCAGACGTAGAGTCGCAGTCAAACACTGCAGGTTGCTAAGATACAAGGAATGTTGATGAAATTGAACGAATCTTATTGGTTGGCAAATAATTAGTTATGCTACTAACAACTGTTGCTACCATGCAAGAAAAATATTTAATTAAAAACAGTGGATTTCAGTAAATGGACAGCTGTTTTATATTTGTAGTTCACCCATTTGATCTAAACTCTCCGAAATTATGTCCTCTCATTTGTATTTAGCATTTCTTTGACATATAGAATTATAGCATATCTTATAAAATTTAAATAGTGTGCAAGTGAAGAATGCCAAGTCACGATAAAACTTTTACACACATAAATTATTCGTAATGACAGGAGCACTACATGCGGTCGTTCCCACAAGAACTAGCTAATGCAAGAGAAGAGTTTTACATTGAAACACTTATCTTCTTTAATTTCTCTAAAGTATTAATGTATGATGAAATTCGTGTGTTTTCAAAAAAACATCGTCACATACAGTATGTTAAGCATTTAACATTGCTATAATTAAAAGGGTAATGGCCAGTTTTAAGCAAAAAACGCGAAATATTGACTACAACTATGATGACCTTGAGAGATTAATTAGAGAATTCGTTGACGCACATGTTTCATTAAAAGGATATTGTTCCGTTTGGCATAAACTTCAGTTAAACACAAGTGTACCCATATAAGTTCCTAAACATGTTGTGCAGTCAATTTTGCGAGAAATTGACACAGAAAAAACCTAGAGAAAAAAGGGTCATCGACGTAAAAGAAGAACTTGCTATAATCCCTCCTAACTACAACGTGATGGATACAAGTAACGGATCTAGCGATGCATCTGGCACATTACATAGAATTGTTCTCATGTAATCGCGTACGCTATTTTTGATAGGATACTATAATTGGAACTGGCTGAAACTTAGCCCGGGCTAAAATTGCTTAATTTAATTGGTCATCTACTTAGTTAAAACCTCTGCCTGCCATTTTTATTGTTTTTTGTTACAATAACTTTAAGTGTTTCATTGGAAAATTTGTGCTAAGATTGATTAAATATTGTAGACTTAAAATACAGTAATAACTAGGGGAATTAAAGCACATTTATCAGCGAATGGGTAACAAAGTAAAAGGTTAAAAATGAACCAAACAAGAAACTTCCTTTACATCAAAACAAATGTATTGCTTTACAGCTTCCCTTTTCTCTATCAGTTCGTGTGTCTGCATTTTTCATGTAGCAACCGCCGTGTCGAACAATTCAAGCCTTTAGCGGCCTTTGCTTGAGCGAGCAATAATCACGAAACGAAACTTAATTGACAAAAACATCTGGCCCAAAGAGAGTCACAACACGATGCTACACACATTATGTGTATCCGCCTAAAAGTTTGTCAATCTTGATTTCTTTAACGCAGAACGCATGGAGTAGTTATATTATGATGCATTTCACAACATATGGCACTTAGAGCGTTAAGTACAAGTTTCGGTTAATAGAAAATATATAACACTAACAGGGACCTGTTATGACTCACATAACAGCAGTTTTTCTCTAGAAATCCCATGTCTGAAAATAGTGACATTTATAACGGTACGAATCTTATCCTGTGAGAATAGACGAACTTAGTAGTTATTATAAGAGCAACAAGAATCACTTTGGCAATATCGCCAGTATATTTTTGAACGCTTTGTTAGTCATTTATCAGACATCAGAAACCAAACAATTAAAAAAAATTGTTCTTTGAACAAACGTCTCTACTTATATATGGCAAAATTTGTGTAAATCAGACGTACCTGTGTCGAGAGGAGTGAAGAGCTTGTTTAAATCAGAAATTTGTCAAAATACCATAAAAAATCTGGAGAAAAATGATGCTATCTGTTTCAATGCCATTGCTTTTAGAATTTGTGAAGCTCGTTATCATAGCAGGCGTAGAGTCGCAGTCAAACAATGCAGGTTGCTAAGATACAAGGAATGTTGATGAAATTGAACGAATCTTATTGGTTGGCAAATAATTAGTTATGGTACTAACATTTGTTGCTACCAAGCAAGAAAAATAATTAATTAAAAACAGTGGATTTCAGTAAATGGGCAGCTGTTTTTACATTTGTAGTTCACCCATTTGATCTAAACTCTCCGAAATTGTGTCCTCTCATTTGTATTTAGCATTTCTTTGACATATGGAATTAGTATATCTTATAAAACTTAAATAGTCTGCAAGTGAAGAATGCCAAGTCACGATAAAACTTTTACACACATAAATTATTCGTAACGATAGGAGCACTAAATGCGGTCTTTCCCACAAGAACTAGCTAATGCAAGCCTGAAAATTCAACTAGCAATCTTATATTCTATTATAATAAATTACGTTAAAATGTTTTCCATCTTAGTTTTCAGTGTGTTCTCCTCGAAACACATCTTATTCATTTCACTTTAATATAATAGTGAAAGAAATCAAGTTCGTATTCTTTTCTTCCCCGAATGACAACTGACAAATTTCCATTATATAAAATAAAAGCAATAAAACGCCTGCGTTGATTGGTTGATAGCTGAGCCTCATCAATTAAATCAATCAAAGAGTATTAGCTAATCAATCATGAATACATGTTAGAAGAAATATTAAAACCTTTGCTTTGAATTTATCTTTATTACATTATTGTTATTTTATAAAAGAAATATACAGATCTGCTTTCGAGTACTCCCAAAGGTCTCCTCAGTTTTAATATTTCCACAATAAACATCTTTTATTTCTGAATTGAACATCTGCTTAGTAACAATTTAATATGGAAATCATCTGGGCATGCGCTTCAGCATACGTAGTTCATTCAACTAATTGTTCATAGCCATGGCAATGACTAACTATATGTTCTTGCACTACATTTGCGGCAATTAGATAACTTAGTCGCAAATTATGAAAGAAATAATCTGGGCTTGCGCAGTAATGACGTTAATGATACCACAACTTTTGCAAGCCTTTGAATTTTTGTATATATATATAAAGCTAAAACTTCAACTAGTAGATGTCAACTAGCAGTGGAAGCTGGGTGCGATTAGGTATGCAGTGGCTTAGGGACCCAGACTTCGGTCGCCACCGCACTCTCCTTGCGTACCCCGAGCAAAGCCTAGACAATCTCGCAGACAATCTCGGGGTCTGATGGGCTGAAGGTTGCTATTGGCATCTCCCAAGTAGGATAGCGTGGAGGCGTCGAAACCTCCTACCGAAACGTTAACATGCGGCGTTATGGTAGCATACGCTTAAGAAGGTATCGGGAAGCATGGACCGAAAACGGGTTTTTTTGCTTTCGAATTTTATCGCTTTTTTCTTTTAACAAGAGTTCTTCTCACAAAATAAACCAAGCAAAGTTTCAATTAGCTTCTTCTGACACTGTGCCTTTTTCTGACACTTATGATTTAAGACAACCTTTAACATGTGTCATACAATTTTTATTGGTTTATATTTTTCTGATTTAACTCTCTCATTTACTGTTTCTTAAGTATCACAAGCAAACAATCCATTGACTTTGTAGCAGACAGAATTATCTGGTTCCCTTAATTAAAATGAGACGTTCTAGTGCTAAACTATCTCGGGGTCTCAGGAGACATGGACCGAAAACGGGATTTTTTGTTTCCAAAATTTTTCATTTTTTCTTTACAAGAACTCTTCTCATAAACGAAACTAGTATTAACATTCACCCAACGAGCAAACGAAAGCGATATATGTTGAAACGTTTAATGAGCAAAATACAAAAGTAAAATATATGTGCTTCTACATCTATAAATCAACAATGCCAATGTGCTTATATTACCTCTAAAATAATTAACATAAATAAATTACATCATCACCCAATCAACGACCTGTTAGTAAACTTTACGCGGGAAAGTTATCACTCGTTAACAACTAGAACATCCAAGGATACTGCTAATGTTCAAACAACTTCTGCCTTTTTCACTTATAATTTAAGCCAACTCTAAGCATGTTTATACGTTTTTTACTCATTACCTTTTGCAACGTAACTTTCTCATAACTCTCTCGTGATGAACTAGAGGCTCCTTATACAATATGACTCTCTCATTATGAACGAAAGCATCCATGGGCTTCATGGAAAAAGGGGATTATCTACTTTGTTATAATAGTTTCTACAAAGATAACATTTAATAAGCCAAGCAATTTGTATCGTCTAAATTGAGCCTCGCTTTGAACCATTATGATATAAAATTTCGAATCATTTTTGGATAGTAAATTTTTTTTTAACTTACAATATTTTCATGATTCAATCTAGAAAATAACTTCTCTCCTCGAGTAATTTTGCGATTAAACAGCACACTTTTCGGATTCAAAGGAATTCTTTTGATCTCATAGAGACAGCCGTCCAATTCATTACATACCTAAGCGTATATAAAGCATTTCTAAATCACGTATAAAATTTCCTTCACATGACCAAATTACCGTCTATTTAAACGATGTTGTATGTAATAAAAATTTACCTTGACAGCTGAAGCAAACCCTCCTTTTTTTAAGCATTTGCAACACCTCAAATTCATTTCGAACTGTTGAATTTCTCGAAGCGTAGCCGAAAGGAATAGGCATCAAATAAGGATACTCATCTCCATCATAACAGCTATTTTGATTTCTCCCTTGATCTTTTTCAGCGTCAAGCTTATCTGAAGTGATGTTATTTGCTAAACAGTATGACATGGGATTTGGAGAGATAAAACGATGTCCAAGAAGCTGCTGTGCTAAGCATTGGTTAAGGCTCTCCGGATATAGACATCTATACAAAGTATATGACATTAAAAAACAGTAGTTATAAATTCTTCGTCACTTTACTGCTTGTTTTTCTTAATGATCTTCATAATTTCAAGCGGAAGCCTTGAGTGGCAGTTTTCAAGCATGCCTATCATTATATTAACAAATACATATTTCGAGAAGGGTAAAACTTTCTTTTTGACACTGCTATTCAATGAAAAGGAACTTGCATGTCCAAAACGAGCTTTTCAATGTATCCAAAGACCAAACTCTTTTCCTCGACATTAGTTGACTTTTTAAATAAAACACCTAAAAAATGTAAAAAAAACCCCCAAAAATGTCCAAACGCGTTTACTACTAAACGCATCATTGCCGCAGAATTCACTGAGTTCGTCCAGAAAATTGATCTGCACTCTGATTCGGTTTGTTTTATGGAGTTTATTAGCAATGAACAATCTACAAAATCTCCCCGACTATTACAAATTTTAGTCTATTTATATGTTTACATTTCGTGACTTACGTGCACTACTAAAACATGAATTAATTAAGAGAGAAAATACTTAGGAAGTGTTAAGTATATACACCCTAATTTAATTATAATTTTGGCACACATAAAACTCCGCATGGGAACTTATAAAATCTGGCATGCAATAAAAATATAAATGAAATATCCTAAATTATACAACAATCATAATACCCTACTGGTAAAATTTGATAAAAATAGCAAATAATAAGTCTTTATACATATCTATTGAGCTAAACGAAAATTGTTAACATTTTTTCCCTACCTGTGAATTAACGTGAACTAATCCTTCTACAATCTCATGGAGAATCCACCACATTCTCTGTTGGTCCTTGTACTATCCCTCGTCAATAGAATTTGTTAGATGTTAACAGACATTATGTCAAACAAAAAGACATCCTACTTTGTAATGAAACAAGACAGATAAGTTAATCATAGTTTTTTTATGTTACTTATTGTAGCTAACTGGGTGTTTTTTCTACTACTATGTTTACATATCTTTATTACAGAATGTCTGGTTATTTGACTGATTTGGAAGAACCAACAATGTTTGTTAAGTTGTGCTTGAAGTGTGCTTTGAGAAGTTTTTCATAAAATTAAATTGCAGCTCAACAATAGATAAATTCGTTTTGCAGAGTTTATTACATAAAATTTGATTTTTAAGTTTATACAAAAGAACCTCTTGGAAAAAACACCAGAAAGCCACTTCTAATGAGAAGTTGTGTTAAGATGAGATGACTACATTTACATATAAAGTTTTATTAAAGCAAAGCAAAGATTACTGGATTTCACACAATGTCAAATCAGGCATTTGCTACCTGTATTATCCTTAAATACATATTTTTGTCATGATTTTAATCACAGGGCGGATGTTCTAAATTTTCTTCTCCGACAACATACCTGAAGTAATCCATCAATTCTATATCATTTTCATCCATTGCCAATTCTGATTCTGTGTATACATCTCTCTGCTTCAATATACCACAAACATTGTTATCAGAAAAAGTGATTGTGCAATTGCTATGTCCAGTGCTTTCAGGAAGAAAAAAAAGTTTATCAGGTACACCCAAAATCGAGTTGTCTCTGAAATGCCGTATGCAATGTATGTTCCAATCTTGCTTTACCTTGTTAAGTTTTGACTGTAAAAACTCTGAATAAACAAACCAAATACATTTCATCTGCAAGTGATTTCCCAATGCAAGCTTTCCTTCATGAACAAGATGTTTAAAATGATTGATAACCCATCAAGAAAATCCTCTTCTATAGTAAGACCACCAGTTCTCAATCCATTGATTAGCATGAGATGATGAATAACGATGCCCTTGCTCACCACCAACAAGGCTACATTACATCGCTGCCAAAATAGTATTCTCTGTTCCACAATCTGTCTGTACTAGGATGGAGCGAAACTTAAATTCCTCCACTGACCGTAAAAAAATTAGCTGGAATAACTGGACTGTTATTGCTTTTGCAAACTTTTAGCCATATTATTCGCCCCAGTAATGGCGGCCAATGGACGTATTTTCGCTGAAATGATCGCTTTGCAGAAAAATAATATTCTCGACCTGCCCCTGGTGTCTATAGTAAATTATAAAGAATTTTTCAAAAACAAACACGATATCACAGAATATGGATATCGTTAGTTCCATAATCTGTGACGATTCTTTTTTGGCATTTCTTTTATAATGCCAACACTTCAATCGTTCAATTGTTGGATGCCGTAGTTTCCACAAAAAGGAACATATCGCTTCTCACAGGTGAGGTAGTTGTTTGTTTTCTTAGTCCGTCAACGATTGAAAAGCAATTATACATGCACTTGAAAAGCCATAAAATACATATTAAAGATCGTATTTTTTAAGACTGACTTGAACGCCAAATATATTGATGTTTTCCTGTTTATAAAACTCTGTATACTTGTAAAATTCTTATAAAATTCTGTATACTTTTCTGTCATTTGTTAATGCATGAAATCGTAAATTCTCCCATCTATTTGCAAAATAGTTTCCCTAAAGAAAAAAAGACACTGCACACATTTTGTTCTGTATCAAAAATGTGATCTGGTATCAAAAAGAAATGATCAGCCCCAACGGTACCCATGATTTGGAGCAGAGCTTGTTATGTTCTATTTGCTGACAACATGCAGGGAAGATCAAGGAGTAAAGATGACTGGAAGATGTTATTGACCAGGCAGAGTCTTAAAAAATGATAATGCTGTAAAGATAATTGATTTATTGTCTGCCCTATCTAGAGTTATTTAATTTGATTGTGGTCAAATTCTATGGATGGAGACACTGGATTCACTAAGGATGCCTTGAATGCTTTGAAGTTAAAGTTCATGATCCAAAGAAAGATGGCAAGAAGGTTGTGTGTGTTTTGATGCTTAATGAAATGTCAATTCACAAACATGTAAAATGGAAGGCCATAAAGTTTGTGTCTATGTAAACATTTGTACTGAGATTGATGATGACTCGATGCAAATGTGAAACTTCAAACTGTATAAGCCATTGGGTTTTATGTAACTTAATGTTTAAATCATGTCATATCTTTATCAAAATATTTTAGTTGAGTGTTGTTTGAATGTTACTAATATCTAATGCACTATACTGAAGCATTAAAGATTCAGTGATGAAACCTTTAATGTTACTGTACTGTAGATTTCTTATATATTTCTTATATTTCTTTAAGAAAAATTTGAGCTTATTTACCTATTAGAGTACAGAATGGATATTTATTATATGCATTATTGCTGCTTTTTTTAAAGAAAAGTTTTTCACTTTTCAAAGCTTTTCTACAAATTTTTTTGCTTCTTATTTCTTATCATGAGATTGATGATATAGAGGTAATATAATCCAATAACTTTCTAATTTCTAAAAAGCTTTTAAGCTTCTAGCATAAAAGTACACTATAGGTATGTAATTCATTTGGTTTTATTGCCTTGCTAGGACATATCTACTTGCACTTCATCATTCTTGTATGAACAAAACACCAGATGTGGATACTCAGAGAATAAAATGCACTACCAACTGCTTATGAAATTTATTATTGAGGTGAAAACTGTGTTAATCATTCAAATTATAGTGCACTTTATTGCAAATATAGGAAAAACAAAACAGAGTGAAAAAGGAAGGTAGAAGTATTAAAACTACAAATGTATTATAAACACCATTGGATGCATAAGTGTTTTGATGATTATTTGCATTTTGCCCAATTCATATATCAATACAACAAAATCAAAATGTGCTACAACTTCACAAGTATTTGATGCAGTTGCACTTCAGAACATCACAAAAAGGTTACTTAAAGTAATTTCAATACAATATTGTTTGTTTTCATTTACCAAACCTATGCAGACTTGAGTCTTTTTGAAATTTCATATGAAACTCAATTACAGAAAATCCGTAAATATCCAGAGATTTAATATGTACTTTTTTAAAGAAACAAGTAAAAATCCTACAATTATGGCGAAAAAAGCCATTGCCCATTGCATGAAAAGAAGCAAAATAACAATGATAAAAAATAAGCTAACTTCTCTCTCGTGAACCGTGGAGATGAACAATGATAAACTTTTTTGTATAGACTAAAGAGTTTAATCGATCAAACAAGTTTGACGCTGGTAAGAAAACGACGCACATCTGCATTCATACATGTGTAGCCGACATATAGGTCTTTCGTCGATAGTTATAAATGCATCCTCGTAGGAGCAGATAACTGACAACCACAGTTGACTCGCTGTTATGAATTTAAGGTTTTTACCTTGATTTTCATCAAAAAATTGCTTGCCGAATCCCAAATACACACATACATTTTCCTCATTCTTTTCTCAGGAGGGAGTGGGAAATTGTGAAATTTTCGGAAAAGCGGTCAATTTCGGTAAATCTCAGCGGCAACGGACGAAATCCGCCATTTTTTTTACAACATCCGATATCTAAGGCCGCGCTTGAGATAGCCGCTCCAGTTATTATAGAACTCAATGGTCTGTACTAGGATGGAGCCAGTGAACTCTACAACAACTGGAAGGCTAACTCATTATAAACAGTAGCGAGAGACTTGCCGAGCGGAAATCGAATACGTGTGATAAAAATTAATGCCCAACATAAAGTTCTGATTAGAGCCATAGAAATAGACCAAAAAAAAAAAACAAATTGTAAAATTTAAATTTATTGTGACGTTTCGTCTTTACTCAAGACATCTTCAGACAAAATAATAAATAGGACGTTAAGACAAGATATTATATTTACAAAAAGGTGTTAAATTACTACTAAAGGAAGCGGTGTCGAATGGATACATGATAAGGAAGTTTGGAAGTGAAATGAAGAGAAATTAAAAGAGGTTAAGTGGAATGGAGTTTCCTTGCACATTAAGTGAAGGCTTGTGTTTATTGATTAGAAGGCTTTCATGGATGGAGAGTTCATAAGTATCGTTGGAAGAGGAAATTATTTTAAAGTCGTCTAAGTTGGGGGTGTGTCCAGTTTCGTTAATGTGAGCAAGAATGCTTGATGATGCTGGGTGGGAAACTTGGTTGCCTGTAAGGGGATATTCCAAGTGCTCGAAAATCTGGTGTGTAGATGACGTATGGTTTGACCCACATACGAAGCGTTGCAGCTTCGACACTTGAATAAATAGACTACACCAGATCTCAGAGGTTTGGGAATTTTGTCCTTAAAGGGGAAGAAAGAAGAGATACGTTGAGAAGGGCGGAAAACAAATTTAATGGATATATGTGGGAAGGCTGCAGCACAAAGGTTATTGATTTGTGTGCGAATTTGAAGGGAGTGTATGCCGGTGAAAGGAAGACAGAAATAGATGGGCATTTTGTGAGCAGTCAAGACAGGTGGTGTAGGGGCAAAGGTGTTGTTAAGGAAGCGACGTATGATTTGGTCAATTATACGTGAAGGAAAACCATTTTTGGTGAGTGACTTTCTGGTAAATTCGAGTTGTGTATGAAAATTTTCGTAAGTAGAGCAAAGATTGAAGATGCGGTGAAGTAAGCAGGAGACTAATGAAAGTTTGTAAGTAAGTGGGATGAAGCTGTGGAAGTTGGTGAAGAGGCCAGTGAAAGTAGGTTTGCGGTAGACGGAAGTGGTGAATTTTCCATTAGTACGAGAGATATCAATGTCAAGAAATGAGAGCTTTCTGTTTTGTTCGACTTCAGATGTGAATGTGATGTTAGGATGTTGTCGGTTCAGGTAGTCAAGAAAGAGAGGGACGTGATCGGGGGAATGAAAGAGTAAAAAACAGTCGTCAACGTAGCGTCGGTAAAGTAGTGGTTTGAATGAAGAGGGACAATTATTAAGCCAGGATTTTTCGTGAAAGGACATGAATATATCAGCAAAGAGAGGGCCCAATGGACTGCCCATAGCCACACCATCAATTTGCTGATACATTTTCCCGTTAAAGATAAAGTGACAGTTCTTAACAGCTAGAGAGAGTAGTTTTTCAAATTCTGTTGCAGTGAGTCCGTTGAAGTACTGGTGGTTGTTAAAAATGCTTTTGGATATTATGTGGATGGTTTCGTCAACAGGTATGTTAGTAAATAGGGATACGACATCAAAACTAGCAAGGACAACATTACTGGAGTTGATATCGCAGTTTAGGATTTCTTCAACAAACGAGAAAGAGTCTTTGATGATGAGGTTGCTTATAATGAAGGGTTTTAGGAGTGGGATGAAAAACTTTGCTAGATTATACGAATAGTGATTAATGGAGGAAAGAATGGGTCTGAGAGGGATGTTACATTTATGTATTTTAGGAAGGCCATATAATATACCTATTCGTGAACCAGTAGGGTAAAGTTCTTTGTACGTTTCTTGGCCGATAGATTTGGCATCTTTCAACTTTTTTAATAAAGATTTCACTTGATTTTCTCGTTTTAAAGTGACTTTGACTGGATCTCCATTAAGAGCTTGAAACTTTGTAGTGTCAGATAAGAGTGTGTCCATTTTCTTTGTGTAGTCGTCTTTGTTAAGTATAACGATGCCATTTCCTTTGTCAGGTTTAGTGATGAGGATAGTTCTGTCGTTTTTTAAATTATTTAAAATGTTCAAGTCTTCTTGTGAATATAGAAAAGGTGGTGGGCTGTAACTTCGGAAACCTGAGTGAGCAATGTCTTTTAATTTGCATTTGATCGAGTCTGGAAAAAATCCTAATGATTCATTAACAGGTTCTCGTTTGAGACGGTTGTAGAGTTTTTCAAAGGGTGTTAAGAAGGTGCAAATGTTTAACTTTTTAGGTGGGATGGAAAAGTTTAAGCCTTTTGAAAGGATTTCTTTCTCTCTGTCAGTAATGAGGCGGTTTGAGAAGTTGAACACCACTTTATCAGGGTCGATTGGGATGTTGTTGTCATGTTTGGAAGTGAGACGGAAAAGTTTGCGATCTTGGATATGTTGATGTTGCGTTAGTTTTCTTGAGTAAACAAACCTAGACTTTTTTGAAGCCACATAGAAGCTGATTTGCCGCTTCGCGTGCATCTCGCGTGGACTGTTTTATTTGCGTGACGGATTGTTTTGCAAAAACTGCTAACTTGGAAATATAATGCTAGCCTAAATGCTTTATTTTTTTCAAAACCGTTAGCAAAATTTGGTTATTAATGTGTTAAGATGCATTGTGGACGTTCCAAGACATGTTTTGTATACGTAACGCTGTATTATATAAAACATAAAAGGGAGAACTTGCTTCGAAATATGAATTTCTCATTTGTCGCCGAAAGACCAAAAATTTAAGATAAAACTGATAACAGGTAGTCTGTATCTTTGAATGCTGTGCAAAATACACACAATCCACTTAATATAAGATGGTTCATAACAATTTTATTGCTTTTAGAGTTAGACTTGCTTTTAAGAATTTCACATGCTCTTTTTGCAATGTGTGAAAGTGATGATTTGAAATTTTGAATTGTGGGTGATTGTTGGATCTTGTCATTTACTTCCTCCCACTTCTTAAGAACTGGTGGAAGATTTGACATGCGTTCATATTTGTGTATTGAGCATTTTATCAGCAAGTTCATGCTTATAAATAAATAGCCAAGTGTACACTATGAGAAGTATTGCTAATATAGCCTGCTCTAAATAAATGCCAAGAAGCAACCCTCATCCTCAGTGGCTTGAAACAGGGTTTTAAAATGATTATAAAGCAAGCAAAGCTATATCATGTATCAAAATTTTATAGTATATCATATTGATTGTAAAATTAGTTTTTTCTTGTAATACAGATGATGATAAATGTATATGTAATATATTAAATTTTAGGATGTGTATTTAAAATGTTTGGTCATATTTGTGAAAATATATGATTCTATAATATTAGACTAATAATCGTTTTCTTACTTGTATTACCGTACAATTTTTACTTAAGTGTTTCAAAAGTTATGAATATAGAGTGTCAATTGTGTTTTTGTCTTTTTTTTTAAGTGAGTATTGACCCTTTTGACTCTTTAATGGTGCAATTAATGATAACACAATAATATGGCATAACAGTTTTTTTTAAACTCAAAATATTTTTTTGCTAACTTTTTGAAATATTTTGCAAAGTGTTTTTCTTTTTGTTTATGCTCTGAACTTTCAAAAAGGACTGGGGCGAGCTAATTTTGCTCGGAAACACGAAAATTACCGAAAAACAGCGTTTTTTGCCCTGACAGCTTCATTTTCAAAGATTCAAACTATATTTTAAGGATAGACAAGTGTGTTTTACATCCTTTTCATGAAAAAAAACGAGGGGTGTCAGTTTTGTATTCAAGTTATAAGACATGTTTTCACGTGTCAAAACAAAGTTCGCTTTTCATCCTTCTAAAAAGAAGCTTAAACATGTACAAATGTCGTCCAAACTTGTTTTATATTAAAGTCCAAACACTGTTTAAGGTTTTTAGACATTAAGCTGGCTTAAAGACCACTGTTTTTTGCAAAAAATCCGGCAATTTCGAAGTGATGTATTTCGCCTTCGTACCTTCAATGGCGGCGCCCATGCAGGCTTCAAAGATGGCGTCCAAGTCAGCCTTCCAGTTGTTATGGAGTTCATTGTATGGAGTTCATTGGATGGAGCAAAACTTAAATTCCTCCACTGACCGTAAAAAAATTAGCTGGGATAACTGGACTGTTATTGCTTTTGCAAACTTTTAGGCATATTATTCGTCAAGAAAACCCGTCAACACAACCGTGAATTGGTAAACCGTAGGGCTTCAGATTATCGTATCCATCTACATGCCAGGTTGCATTTGGTCCATCAGATACGTAAGTTCGCGGAAGCAACTTTCTAGCTTTACGGAGTGCCGATGCTTCTGGGTCGACGTCTTTTAGGATTCTCATAACTGTGTCTCGAGGAACTGTTATATTGTAACTTGTTCTTAACTTATTCCACATACCCCTGTAACCAAGAGTCGATGATGGTCCCTTAATTTCGTTCTTAATGATTTGCCGAACGGTGTCTTCTGAGACAGCTTGGTCCACTTTTTGCAAGCCGTATGACTGAAGCCTTCGCTTTAATGTTCTGATCGACATTGAAATATCATGGTATTGGAACAAGAACATATTCCCTTCTTATGCAACACCAAAAAGGTATCCTGTCATTATAGATGCTTTTGAAGAATATAGGTAACTGCATGTAGTTCACTGATTTATTACACTGCTGTACTAGGTATGAATTGCTGGGAAAGTTGCAGTAGTCTAAGAGTTGCAGTAGTCTAGTAGAAAGTTTTATAGCCTAAGAATCTCATCTTAAGAGAAGTATTTAATTGGAGAAAATCAAAATGCTAAAGTTTATGATGGGAAAGGATTTTTCCTCAAGTATTATTATATTGCACTGTATTTTGTTTATGTCATTTGTTTAAGAGTGCATACTGCTTTCTTTGTGTCATTGCTTTTTTCAGAATTTACAGACATAAACTAAACATGTTGAGCTGTGTTATGCCTGAGCTTGATGAAGGAAATATCTGTCCTGCTTGTACCAAAGTGAGTATATTCATATTACTTGTTTAACAAGAAAAATTAGGAAAAAGAACATTAGCAATGCTATCTCAAACACCTTTTTGACTGCATCATTGAACTCAAATACATTGCATGATTTTATCCTTCATCATTTTATTGAATATTTGATTTTTTTTCATTTTCTACCACATAGTTTTTATTTTCAATACATTTTTGCCATGGGCTTTAGGAAATAAAACTCTTGTATACTTTTTTGTTTGTTACATATTGATATTTATAAGAATGTCATGGTTTTCTTGCTGGAAATGCTGTTTGATCAATGAGTCACTACAAAGCTCTTGATGAAACAGCAATCTTTGGACGAGGCTGTTGACATGAATTTCCTAAAAAATTCTTAAATTTGAAACATGGAGATAGGTCTGTTACAAACATTTTTGTCTATTTTTACCTAAATGTTCTTGGTTTGAAAGAGGTGGTTAGGATGCATGCATTTGATGGTATAAATTTATTTTTTTCAGTTGGTTTGCTACTTTCAATGCTTTGTGCAAGTGCTGAAGCTTTTTGCATACATGTGGTTGCATTATTTAAAAAAATATCCTACATATTTTATAGATTGAGCTATGCAGTTTATGTTCTCCAAAAATTAGAGAAAGATAATGCTGATAATCCTTCACTCAAAATAAACATATTGTATGATGTTGCATGCATGTTAGTGAAACACTTACAGGTAATATTCAATTGACAATAGTTGCTTTGTTACCTGTTTCCTTTGTCAATAACTTTCCCTCAACACTTTTTTTCTTTGAAAATGTAGTCTTTCACATGTTTTTCTTTATTTTGTTTTTTACAAAAAGAATTTGGACTATTCGATTGTTGACAATTTTCAATTCCAATTTTTCACTGCTATGGGCATGTTGGACGATGCCAAGTTAGTTGTTATTTTTATTTTTCATACGTATAAACAGATGTTGATACCTGGGTTTTATGCTATCATAACTAATGGTATTGTAGATGATAAATGATGAAAATTCAATAATTGTTTACTAAATCTTTCTTGTAAAGGTTAAATTTAGTCCCGTCGTAAAGAAGGATTTGGCCTAACTGACGGTGAGATGTTGAGAGATTGGCTTACATTCGCAAATTTAGCAGAATGACTAAAGAAATGCGTCCAAGTCACAGAGTTGATGTACTCAGTTATGCTCTTTTACATTATGGAAAGAAACGAAGATTAATTTAGGTATAGCTAGTTTTTCTTTCTTTGTTTGAACATATACATAGCTAACATGTCATCATATTATGTAATAGCAGGTATGAATTAAATTTTGTTTTTTGAGGCAATTTGCTGATGGCAAGGATGAAGCGAGCTGTTGACGTGAAAGAAACTGCAAAATTAGATTTTGAAAAGTTATGCAGGTGCTTTCCGTGTGAGTATATGTTTGTATTTCCTTTTGATTATATTTGACTCCGATTTTGGATATAAACTATTTACGACTCACATGAAAGCAGTAGATTTTCTTTTTTTCATTATCTAAAGCTCACAGGATTTCAATAGATGATATTCATGAGTGGATGAAGGACGAATCGACTTTTTTTGGTCGTGAAATTGAGACTGGTTAGTAAATGAGAAATAATGGCTTGTAGCTAAGGAACAGATTTGACACATAATTATTGCTCATTATGTGGAAATGTTTTACCCACAGAAAACTTTTTTAACAAATATACGTAAATCTTCAACAACTTACAGAAGAAGAAGATTGGAAATGCAAGTACGTTATATACCTGGTCTTGTACGCTGATCTTTACCATCGATGGAATGGTTGCACTGATCCAAGTGAACTGACTCTTCGATTTAATCAGATGAAAAAGTATGTTCGAAAAGTTCAACTTTTTTCTAGAGATATTAAAGTCTTAAACAGTGTGAATTTAGAAAAGTAAAGTGGGAAAATTTTGAAGCTATTAATGTACGTCGCAACATTGTGAATAATAAGTTGGAATATCGAATAACAAATTATTTCTTGTTTTTATACGTACGTACAAGTAGAGATGTATATGCAACTGGCAGGTGCTTGTCAGACTGTGCCTTATATTTGTAATGATTTGGTATTTACTGTTTAGAATTGACGAGCAGTTGAAGATCATGGAAAGGGAAAACTCAATTTCTGCAAGCTGGCAAAATACAGACTCAGAGTACGAAAATGCAAAACGCGAGGTTGCGTCTAGGAAAGAAAAACGTGTTTTGTCTCGAATGAGGAAAAATGTTGCTGAAAGATGGTTTCTCCTAAATCTTAAGTCTAAATAATGTGGTAACTATACGTATCTCATAAATGTTCCATACAACTTGCAATGTTTGTAAATTACTTTACATGTTGCCTTCTATGTAATGCTTCTGTATGTTTGTTCTGTTTTTCAGATGGTCAAGCGTTGGCATCCAGACTTTCGAAGCAAATTACTCGAGTAACAAAGGATGTCAATAAAGATATCGCAGCTTATAACGAGGCTGAATCACATTCTAATCATTCACATACCGCATTAACATTTGATGCTGTCAAAGATCCTGAATGATTTTTGGTGTGAATATCTAGCTGCACCTACTGATGAAGATTGTTCAGTTCCATTTACTGTTAAACGGAAGGCTATAGATTTATGCCATTTGCTTGACTGATCGAAGGAAGAGCAAATCCTGTTGAAGTCAGAAATGGAAAATACGTGGAGTCACTACTTTCAGCAGCACGGCAAGATTACTGACTTTTGAAAGATAACGTGATGACGGCGCGTTATGAAAATAAGCGATGAATAACAGGCTATGAATCAATTTGTGAAAACTTTGTTAGCGATGATTGGTTAGAAAAGAAACTAAAGCAGGGTTAGCGTTGGTTAGGTTAGTGTTCTGGATTAAAACAGTTATTTTAAGAACTATTACATTGGTATTATCACCATTCACCATGGTATTTGCTATTTTGAAATCCATCTTTAAGTTTGTCACCACGACAAAGTCTCTGTGTACTGTTTTTAAACTAAAGAGTGTACGTTTATGTACAATATCCATAGATTTTGCTTTATAGAAAAAGAAAATATTATAAAAAATGTATAATCGCCAACGTACGTACGCGGCATAATATACATGATAAAAAAAGGGTTTCTTATTCCTTCTCGATGATTGGGTACACAGCATGGTGAGACTACAATACAATTTCAATAATGTGTAACCGTACATCCTGTTCCCAAGTGCAGGAGTCACCTCTCTTCTATGGTGATAAACGGGAGGGCACATTGCTAATAGTGGTAAAGAAATTTTGGTGTGTGGTATGAAAACTTTTTTATCAGTCAAATATTGATGGCTAATAGCCACCTAACGTACGTACGCTGGATAATAAAGGTGTTTAAATAAGCTTTTTGTTGAATAAATACTTTTTGAACAGTCATATGTAACTTTTTGGTAGTTATACAATGTAGTATATGATGAAAATTGATGTTTTATATACATGGGTTATAGCCACCCAACGTACGTGCGCTGGATAATAAAGGTGTTTAAATAGGCTTTTTGTTAAACAAATACTTTTTGAACAGTCATATGTAACTTTTTGGTAGTTATACAATGTAGTATATGATGAAAATTGATGTTTTATATACATGGGTAATAGCCATCCAACGTACGTACGCTGGATAATAAAGGTGTTTAAATAGGCTTTTTGTTAAACAAATACTTTTTGAACAGTCATATGTAACTTTTTGGTAGTTATACAATGTAGTATATGATGAAAATTGATGTTTTATATACATGGAAAATCATTACGTACGTACGCTGGATAATAAAATTGTTGAAAAGTTGAGGTTTTTGAATAAATACTTTTGTCCATCAAAACACATATGTAACAACAGTTATGTTAGCTAAATAGCTAATGTAGTTTATAGCGTTGCATGGAGGTAACTATTTTGATTTATAACTAACTTTGATATGAAATATATCTATAAATTGGCCCAACTTAGTCACCAGTTCAATTAATCGTTAACTTGACTCTGTTTGACATATTTCTTTTCTACGTCTTGTAGTTGTAATTAAAGTCATCTTTTATTTTAAATGTAGACAAAATTGAAGTATAATTGTTTCCTGTACAAGAATTCATTATTTTTGATAAAGTAGTAGAACTTAGCTAAAAAGAAAATCTCATTAACCTAAACTAAAAACAGCGCTAGTTAATCGTCAATAGTATGTTTAGACAAAATTGAATGATAAGAGTAAATCAGTATGATACATTGTCAAGTCACCTCAAATTTTTACAAGATCCACTACAGCTTTCAGGTGCTTCGGTAGACAACAAGGTTAGTCACTTTCAGAGTCTGCACCGTCTTGAACTCCACTCGACAATTATAAATTTTTTCAGCGTTATTTCGGAGACAACGCTCAGTTTTTCGTATACAATATATGCAGGCCTATAAGAAATATCATAGTTTCACTGTCACATAGCTTTCACAAAAAAAAAACGTCTTGGAATTAGGCGTTAGATGAACAACAAACCTCAGGGAATAAACGTTCTACATGTAGTTGATGTTCATTGAATTTGTTTCATCAAAGGATCGAAAAATATCTGTGACTATTTCTTTGACTACATTCAACAGATCTTTTGCCTATATATACAAAAATGACGAGTTAAGACACTGGTGGGGCTCTATTTCTAACAGAGAATATGTTTTTATACTTGAGTTCGAGTTAAAGGACACGTCATGTAGAGATCGGTGAGTTCAGTCTGAGCTTGATTTTGCCCACGGATCATTTGCTTAAATAACCTGTGGCGTTTACTGAGTATGGTACCGTTGACGATTTTTGTTAAATGTGTCTAAAATTCAATGTTAAAATATTATAGGTATGTTTATCTGCAACTGATATTAAATAATTTAAATTCTAGCAGAACCTTTAATCCTCTGAATGAGCAATTTCCCTTTGTATTTATGTCAAATGTTTTCGCAGATCTGTCAAAGTAAAATTAAAAGAAATGAAATATATTTATTTGTGTGTGTTCAAGAAACTCGCATTTTAGAAATAAAACATTTAAGAGCACGAGGAAGTATTAATAACTATTATGAATACGTATGCAAATAAATCGGTGATGCGCAAAAATGAACAGACTAACAGTTCGTAATTTAGAAAAAGTGGATGCATAATTTACCCATGAGTAAAGTAAGATACATTGCATCCGCAATCAAATTTTCCTTTCGGCTTCGTCGTAATGCCAACGCAATCCCAATGGTACCATTGTTGACAAACATCACACAACACCCAATCCACCATTCCATTATCTTTGGAAGATGGTTCTTGACAAAGGAAGGCTTTACATTTGTCATAGGATGTCAAATGACTAGCTCTTTTCTTTGCACAAGACACACTTTTTCTGTCACTGGACTTTGCCTCTTTTCTTTTTCTTTTGTTGTTACTTCTTCCCTTCCTGTGTTCTTTATCAACTTTCTTAGGCACGGCGTTTTCTGTTACAAGGTGTCCGTCACCTTCATTAACTGTTCCGTCTCGTCCACAAAATACATTCCCAGAATTACCATCATCATCAACATCATTATTTACAACATCTTCTCCATCGCCGGGAACATCACCATTTTCACAACCATTATCAACATTATTAGTTCTTTGTCTATGGCCAACATATGCTTTAAAGGTACTTGCAAAAAGTTGGTACAACCCTTACAAAAATAAACTATAGTTTTGAAAACTGCAGTATTTTGGAACAAAAACTGTAGTTCCGAAAACTATAGTTGTATGAATAAACAGATATAGAAAGTTTTGGGAGAACTGTAGTTTTACAATTGATAGTTTTGTTCCCAAACACTACAGTTTTCAAAACTATAGTTTTCTGTGAAGTACAGTTTTCCAATGAATCTATGTTATAATGTAGTTCATTAACTAAGGGTTTCATAAAGACAATTCAGCAAATTCCCTGTACAGGTTCTAGTAGTACACATTATTTTATACAGAATTCAATAAAACATGAATCCACGATACAATTCCGGGAGTATCGTTACATGTTTGTAAATGTAGATCGTCCAGATTGGTATAGTCCTGAGAAGGACTGTTTTTGTTGTTGTTGACTGACGACGTTTCGACAACCTTAGCGGTAGTCATTTTCAGAGTCAAATGAGTAGTAAACGTCAGGTTAGCCGTATTTGTTATCTGGTTCTTAGGTCATCGTATTGTGTGTACAGGAAATGTGTAATGTCTTTGTGAATTAGTGTGAAGTGTAATGTTTTTAGTTAATCGTTTGTTTGTATTGTGAATAAGTCGTTTGTAAGGTGCTGGTAATTGCTGTGATCTGTTCAGGGGGTTTGTTCCAAGTTGGTATACCACCTTTCTAATGTAAGCCGTTGCCTATAGTCAGTACTGTAAGTAATGCATTTTGCAGAGTCCCAGTCAATGTTGTGCTTTGTGATTCGGTGATGTTCGGCAATGTTATTGGTTTTGTCTTGTTTCTTAGTAGCTCGTTTGTGTTCAGTAAGTCTTATGTTTAAGTTCCTGCCAGTTTCCCCGATATAAGAGGCGTGGCAGTCGGAGCAGTTATTTTGTAAACTGCACCTTGTCGTTTGTTGGGTTGTTCTTTCTCCTTTATGTTCATTAGTACTTGTCGTAACGTTGTGATTGGTTTATGTGCGACACGTATGTTGTATGGTCGTAAGATACGCGAGATAGTCTCAGACGTACCTTTGATGCAAGGTATCGTTGCTGATGTCACTGAATTGTTCGTTTCGTTGGGTTCGTTGGGTTTGTAAATGCTGCGTTTGATAAAGTTAGAGTTATAGTTGTTTTTGTCAAAAACACGTTTGAGATAGTTTTTTTCGTTTTGTAGAGCGTCCGGTGAATCACATATGATTTGTGCACGTCTTGTTAATGCTCTGATTGTGGTGGCTTTGTGTGATGTAGGGTTGTAAGATGATTCGTCTAGTAGTCGGTCAGTATGTGTTGGCTTGCGATAAACTGTTGTTCGTAGTTTTTGATTGTCATGTTTTACCAAACAGTCGAGAAAAGGAAGAGTTCCGTTTTCTTCGACATCTTTGGTAAATTGTATGTGGCTGTTGTGTTTGTTGATGTGTGTGAGAAAGTCATCAATCTAGTCTGCATGTAGTGCTGTGATTGTGTCATCTACGTAGCGAAACCAAAAAGGTAGTGCATGTTTGTAAGTCGTGAGCGCCCGTTCCTCTATAGATTGCATTACAATTTCAGCAACTACAACAGAAACGGGTGAGCCCATTGCTGTTCCATGTAATTGTTTGTAGTGTGTACCTTTATACTGGATGTAAGTCGAGGTGAGGCAGAGCTCCAATAGCTCCATAATGTCTTCTGTCGGTAATGGCAGTACGTCCGTGGTGTTTGTAATGAGGATTTTTGTACAAGTAAGTGCCAGATTAAGTGGAATACTGGTGAACAGTGATTTCACATCAAAAGACACTAGTATATAACTGTCCGGTATTTGTACAGTGCTCAGTTTTTTAATGAAAGTTTCAGTGGATTGCAGCTTGTGTTTGATTTGCTTGTAAGTGGTTGCAGTATGTCAGTCAAGTACTTTGAGAGTTCGTAAGTAGGCGAACCACAGAATGATACAATTGGTCGCATGGGTATTTGTGGTTTGTGAAGTTTTGGTAGTCCGTATAGTCTGGGTGAGTGTGGTACTGAACATCTAAGTCGATAGTAAATACGTTCAGATATAATGTTAAATTTTCTCACAGAGAAGATCTTGCTGTTAAGTTTGCGTACTAGTGATGGTGTTGGGTCTCGTTTGAGTTGTTGGTACGTTTCTCTGTCGTTAACAAGGGTGACCATTTTGTTGAAGTAATCATTCCTGTCCATGACCACAGTCACGCGTCCTTTGTCTGCTGGTAAAATGACGATGTTGTTGTCGTGTTTTAGTCGTTTGAGTGCTTGTTGTTCGTTCTTTCTAGAGTTGTTGTCGCGTATAGAGGACGATTGTAAAATGTAGGCTATCCTGCTTCTGATGTCGTCTTGGGTTGTTTCTGACAAGTCTCTTTGACACGCTATTTCACATTTCCTGCACACATTTCCTGTACACACAATACAATGACGTAAGAACCAGATAACAAATACGGCTAACCTAACGTTTACTCCTCATTTGACTCTGAAGATGACTACCGCTAAGGTTGTCGAAACGTCAGTCAACAACAACAAAAACAGTCCTTCTCAGGACTACACCAACCTGTACGATCTACATTTACAAACATGCAGTTCTTAATTCTATAAATTTAAAACGGTATATCATAAGCTTATAAAGGTTGATGACACTAGGTAATATTGAGTTGTTGTTTTTCACCCAAATACTAAATTTCAAATCCAAAATATACTGAATAGAACAAGAAATTTACAAATTTCTCCATTTTGGAAGACAAAAGTGAAAAGCAGAGAAAGCATTGATTTGAAATACAAATGAAGTAAATTTTCATCAAGCTTACCATTGCCATTGTCAATTTGCTCATTAAGTCTTTTGATCTGATTTTCCAGCATTTTTACCCTCTCTTTGAGTTCCAAGGCTTCTTTTTTATACTTGCATTTATCATTGCAAAGTGCACTACCTTCATCTAACTGACTCTCCTATATAATCAACAAGAACTTAGGCAATATTTAACAATATATTCCTTTTAGTACCAACTATTAAGGTGTACCTTACTAACAACAAGTACAATATATTATAACGATAAATATCAATTTTTCAATTTCATAAGCCCCGCTGATGGAAAATTCTTTTAAATGATTGCCCTATACAAGCCTTACACTGTACAATGTTTGCTTTTTAAAAGATTTTTCACTTAGAAACAAGAAATGAATTTCAAATTAACAGCAATTTATGATTGATGGGAACATATCATACAGTATTAACTTTTTTAGCATTTAACCAAACAACATCCAAATTATATTCTGAAAAATTACTTTAATTCCCTAGCATTCCTCATTAAAAATAAAATTGCATAATTTAGAGATAAGAATAATTAGTGTTATCATTGTGTATAGTACATACCTTGGTTAATCGCTCTTTTATAAGTGAAGCAAGACTGGCTGAGCAGAAAGCCTCTGTTTTCTTTGCCCTGGATGCCTTTAGCTTTTTAGGAATACTGTGCTCCTGCTGGTAACAAGAACAACAATACAAAATTTTATACATGTTGTTTGAAAAGTTTGTTATTAGCTACTACTTCTCATTTAAATTCTTAGGCTCATAGCCTTGTTCAGCAATGCAGACCTTCGAACATAGAATTAGTAGCTAATAACATTTGAATCATGAATACCATATGGAGTACTTAACAAATTTCCATGAATGCATCATCACATTAGTGACATGAGTGCTAACTATAGATGACGGCAGCAATAATTGATAAACATGCAGTAAACACCATATAAACAAAATGTGGTCAATGTAATATTTCAGGAAACTCACCACATCATCTGATTCACTAACACTTTTAATTGTAAACTTTGCTTTGTGAATTCTTTTGCGACACCCTTTGCCAGTATTTATAGAGAAAGTTTCTTCTTTTCTCATTGTCTTGAGTAAATAATCTTTACTATCTGTTTATACAAAATAATGGATGACTATTTAACAACTATTAAAAATAATAATTTTCAATTGGAAGCAGTAGCATGTCTGAAATTATAAGGAAACAACCTTATGCAAAGTTTGGCTTAATGTATTACTACATGTATTTAAGAGTAAACAAGTTAAAATCTGGGAAATAGACACATCCTTATTGTCAGTATTGTAACTGAACTATTGCTATGTAGAAGAAAGAACAACATTTGAGCAAAGGCTTTTTATCAGAAAGTATTTCCCTCCTAAAAAAGCATTAAGTTGAATTGATAACAGCAACCTTCATATCAACTATGACTATTTCTACAAACAAGACAGAGAAATAAGCAAATAGATTTTCACACAGAAATTTACAGATGTATAGCAAAGCTAAGATGTTTCATGAAAGAAATGATAACAAAGAGAAAGAGCTCGATCCACTAGCAATTAGCTTTTTAGCTGAATTATACAAGCTTTTAGAAATTTTATAAAAAATTCTACAACAGACTAAAAATACTAACCTGAAACCTCTATTATCTCTGCAGGAAATTTCCTCGACTTGCCGTTTCCCTTTGTTTTTCCATCTCCCACATGGTAACGTTTTGAATCCTTTAAGTTCATCTTTGTCTTTCAACATATTTTCATCCTAAAAAATGATGTTAGAACATGGAATGATATCCCATGTAATTTCGTTGTAAAAATTCACCAATGCAAACGCCATATTTTCGAATATTATCGCTGAAAAATCTTTGTCAACTCTTAAATTATATCCAACAAACGAGACATTCAAAAATGACCACCTTTAAACAATAAATACAAAGCGACCACGTGATAAACGAATACGACTATATTTGGCGATACTCGTTTGGAACTTTGAACTCTGGTCTATTTCGTATACACAGTTACACACAATGTGTTGCCAGATCGTGAACTAAGTTCACAGATTTGTGAACTTTTTGCTCTCTTCATGAACATTTCATGAACATTAAAATTTTGTGAACTTTTTGTGAACTTGTCTAAATATTACGTATTTTTGTATTTTCATCATTTTCATAAAGAATGTATAGATAAATCATAGTTCAATGAAAAAAAAATCTTCCTAGCTCGACAGTTCTTTCAAAACAACGACGATTTTAAGATAATCCGATGTTTTCCGAATACCTCCGAGAGTTTTCCAAAAATTTCCGAATTAATCCGTTAACTTCCAATCTTAAAACTTAGATGTAATATGAACTTTTTGTCATTTTTGTGAACTTTTGACGCAAGCGAGCATGAATATTTTAAAATTTCATCTAGCAACACTGTACACACACCGTTGCATTCGATGGGCTGCATCAGGCTACATACGTTCCTCTAATCTCTTTATCTCAAAAAGATACGTAAATTGGGTTCAATTGTTGTTTATTTTGTGTTGCAACGAAGCGTTTAAACTTGTAAGTACTGTTATACAATTATACCGTTATATTGAGCCACATATCAACTATGCTGTTTATAATTAGCTAACAAATATGTGAATGTGATCGAGTTTTTGTCACTAACTTTAAAAGCATGGACATGCGACTTTTGTCAGGTTCAGAAAATGTTGTAGTAGGACATTAAAAAATCAGAAACTGGGAAACCAAGGTAGAAAAAGAACACACTGCATTTTTTTAAAATGTTTATATATGAAACATTCTGCTTTATCAAGACATGCCGGACTTTATAATATAATTGCTGATTAGCCCATTTTCTAGTTCTTTGCATTTAATTTTTACAATCTCAGACATCAAGTCTTACTTCTGTCACTGTTTATTTATATGTAGCTGATTGACTAAAAATGCCAAGAAAAAAGTATAAAGAATATTTGTGGGATGACAGAGTTGTAGTTCCAAGAACTACCTTATGGAGAAGTGAACAGTTTTATGAAAATGAAGTAGAAAGAGAACCTTACACTAAAAATACATTATCTACAGACAATTTGATTCAATCAAACAGAGGGGGCTCTGAGCAATCTACCACTGAATCTGGTGATGAATATTGAAAGTACAGTCATAAAACAAACACAGTATCCAGTAATATAGTTTATTAAACGTGCAATCCAAACAGCAACATAATAGAATAGAAAAGTATAGGAATAGGAATTAAACAGTAAAGACGCTAACTATTATATAAAGCATGCAACAGTATCAAGTGACAAACCAATCATTATTCACATAGATATGTGACCTTTGTAACCCACGTTCTCATAGTGTGATCATTACATGCAAACTACGTCACCTAAAAATATCACTTCTTAACAATGAATTGTGGGATGGTTTTGATGACCCTTGTGAACCTAATTACCTGGCTGATGTTTTCAATAATGAGCATTCCTCTGACACTGACATGTCGGATGATGTTTCGGAAGAAATTACTGATCATTTTGAAGAAACTACTGAATTTGCAGATGATTTTAGTGATGACGTGGATGATTCCCTTGGTAGTACAAAGTGTGGTGAAGAGCAAAATTATGGTTTTGTGAGTGGCAGAAACCAGCCTATATACAAAGATGCAGTTTTGACCCACAATCCTTTGTTCTTTTGATGTCATTTGTCATGAAACACCAACTGACAGATGAAGCATTAAGTAACTTTCTGAAAATTATGAACTTGCATTTACCAAATGTTGTGCCTGAAACAAAGTACCTCTTTTACAAGAAATTCAATCACCAAAGTTTTGTACACCATTACTTTTGTTAGGAGTGCTCATTTTACTTTGGCCCAAGTGACATGTGTGAATTGAATAAAAAGTGCTCATGCTATGTGCCAAGAGATGTGAAAAGTGCAAAGAACAATAAATCTTATTTTTCTTACTGGTCGTTACAATCAGAACTTGAACTGATTCTGCAAGATAATACTGCTGCCCGGTGTCACTTAACCAACCTGCCAAGCATCAGTAATGATTTTATAACTGATGCACGGATGGACATGTGTACAAAAACTTAAGGAAGTTCATGGTTATGGACCAAATGATATTTCTCTGCTGTGGAATGTTGGTATTCCTGTATTTTGGTAGGTAATTGTCTTTGTTTAATTGCATGGTTCTCTAAGCTTTGCATTTGATTAACATAATGCATATTGTGTAAGTAAAAAGAATAATCCAAACTTCATAACGTAGTGATATTTGAAGCTAATGATTTGAACATTTGCAATTTATGTAAAATGTACAAACCATTTATAGTGTATGAATAAATTTAATTAGTAAGTGCTTGATCTGCTTAGCTACCTTCAGATATGTTTAAATTGTCTGTGATGAGAAATTTCTAATAACTTTTTTATTGAAAATGTGCTAGGTATAATAAACTATTTTATTATCTTATATAGAGCATTTGCTATTTTTATTTAAAATTTTATTGCTTATTTTATGGGTCATCTAATAAAGATCTATGGCCAATACAGTGTACCATTTTAGAAATGCCAACAGATCTTCGTAAAAAGCATATTGTCATGCCAGCATTATGGTTTTCAAAGTGCAAATTAAACACAAATCTTCTGATGCAACCTTTTTTGGAAAGGAACAAGCTGGCTAAAGGTAACAACATCATGTGCATGTACCAAGTTTCAATTATATTTGAGCAGTTTACCAATATGTTAGACCAAATAAGCCCAGCAGCGCCAAGAGGCTTGATTGACCACTTCCCTCCCCCTCCCCCACTACTTTTTCCTGAGGTAAAGTTCATTCTAACATTTATATATTTTAGCTAACTTGATGAAATTAAGACACAAAAAGTTTGTCTACAGAAAGTTTAATACAGGTTCACTTTTGTTGCGCTGTTTTACCAAACTTAAGTTACTCCTTGCTTTATTAAATGAATAAAAAGATTTACTTTCGTGGTTCTGATAAGTTCAATCCATGCTAAAAGACTGTATCAATTTGTCTTAGGATTCTTATTCCATTGTCCATCGTATACGGGTTTTGCCTTATTTGCTCTGCTGATGCCCCATAAGACCGAAACTGAAAAATACGAAGCAGTTTAATGGCGTTTGTAGGTGCATTGAATCTCTCCATACAGGTATACTGTATTTTGTTTTTATCATATGCGATTTAAACTGCGACATTTGATTCTTACCAAAATGCAGGTTTGCTCTTAACGACATTTCCCGCATAATCTTTTCTTGTACAGACCAGAAATGTTATGTTTTGAGACAACAGAAATTTATCGAGAAAAATTATTTAAGTAACATTCATTCTATGAAATTTACCAAATACAGATACATTGCTTGTTTCCTTTAGAACTTTCAGACAAATCTTGCCTTTTCAACTCGTTTTGCCATTGCGAGAATGAATCAAATTGTGCGATGTGCACAGGCTCAAATGAAGTGAAATTTCCAGACGTTTCAGTCGTCGTCGATTCAAAACTAGAGTTAAAGCCATGTGACTTCGTAATTTAATAAACAACTTGCAAGCAGGATTATGCTATACATTGTATTCTATTATATATAGATACGTTTCGCGTTTAGGAATACAAGTAGTGCGTGGTAGAGGAGCACGCGAGTGTTTATCCATTTGACGAGGCTCAAAACAACGCACCATCATGTAAAGAATTGTGGGCATTAGAAGCTTTGGAAAAACTGCAATAATGGATGTGGAAGGGCCAAGTATGCATTCAAAGATTAGTCACTTTAACATGGTTAATGTTTTTGTTCCTGACTTTTTACTTGTGCTCTACCGGGTGGCGTCTTATCTCTTTGGTTTGACAGCAGTAACCGAAAGCCCATGGTACATTGGACAGCCTTCCAAACAAATAATTTGACAGTCTAATCAAGAACATCGTTGTTATTCCAAAAGAAGCACGACAGCTTCCAAGATCTATAACTACACGCGAACACTGGAAAGGTAATGAATACAAAACGTTTCTTTTGTATTACTCACTTATAAACATGTACTAGGAGTTCTTTCAGCACCGTACCTCAACCATTTTTCCTGTTCGTGTGGGGTCTTCACCTAAGCTGCTTGATACTTCTATTTCCAAAATGACTTGGCAAAAGTTAAAGCTGCACTTGATCTGTTTATTGTGAAGATGGAACAGCTGTATGGTGTTTCCCATTGTACATTTAATGTTCACCAACTGTCTCACATGGCTAAGAGTACTGAGATGTGTGGACCACTATGGGCTGTATCAACATTTTTGTTTGAGAACAACAATACTACTCTGAAGAATATGATCCAAGGAACACAGTATGTTTCTAAGGTCAGGTTTACTAAACGTACGCTGTTTTGAAAACGTTACCGTTGTTCATGAAACAATGTGTGCAAGGAAACGAACTGGTCTCTGAACTTTTTGAAAAACTGGTACATGAAACGTCTTTGACAAAAAAAGCAGTGGATCTGTCGCAGAATCTTACAGCGTTGTGTAAAGCAAAATTCGTAATGTTACCGTTGAAGAAAGTACCATTGACAGTGGCTGCTGGTGGAGTGGTCAACCGAGTTGTGTACAGAATACAACCGATTCATTGTTAATGGAAATCAATCAAATCATCTTGAAGCGGAACAAAATCTCTTTTTGGCATCACGAAGATATCTTTGTAAACAAACTGTATTAATATCGTTAAAATCTCTCGCTTTTTCTAAACACATTAAGCTTTATCACAATAACTATAACTTTCTTGCAAATCACAAAATGTCCACTGTAAATTTTAAAGCATTCGTACTGTAGTTTCCATTATGTTAATACTGTTTAAGAAACTTAGAGTTTTAGATTTAAACACGACAGTATAGTTTTTCATATAAACACTAAAGTTTTTTCACCGTTTGTTTCAGATGAACTATAT